AAAAAAAAAAAAAAAAAAAAAGACCAGAAAATACATAAACAATACATAAACAGCATTAGCCTCATCTGTACACAGAAAAAAGGACTGGAAGGAGACACGCCCAATTGCTGCTGGTCTTGATGAGGTTCCGGTGCGTATTATTTTCTTTCTACTTTTTTGTTGTTGTTACTTGCTTTCCCGAATCATTACTAATGAGCATGGATACCGCTTCAAGTCAGAAATAAAAAAGCCCACTGACTATTATTTTTGTAAAAGCACCATGTACAGAAAAGAGGCATGCCAGACTGTGGGGCGGCTTCTACAGCAAGACTGGGGATGGTCCCACAGTTGCAGATTGGGGCTGAGTGACATTTCTTGACGGGCGGCCCCTAACAGCCTTCTCCCTGCACGGGGAGTGCCCCGCCCAGCCCAACTCTGGAACTGCCTCGATGTTGTCTGGTAAGGAACGTTCTCCAATACCCGTTCACTTTTTTCAACTCAGTACTACTAAGGTGTGACGCTCTCAAGATGTGTTGAGCGTTCAGAAAGACGCATCACCACGAAAGGACAGCTTCAGCTCCTCAGCAGCCCCGGACGTGGCAGTGCACACGGTGGATGCCTCTGCCAGGCGATGCCTGCTTCCTCCCGATTCACCCAGCACAGAGACACACCAAAGGCACCCTAACCCTGAGCTCGAGGTTTTAGGCACGGTGACTCCACCGCTGACTGTTGATCCATCAGGCTCCTGTCACCACGGCAACACACATGAGCGCAGTGAGCCACCTCATCCCGGCTGCTCCACTCCGTCTCATCACCATCCTGCCGACACCTAACTAAAGTGTTCTCCTGGCAAGCAAATTCCAAATCCTTGTGATATAAAACCGCAGATTCCACCTTCTCTTTTTAACGTGGGCTTTAAATAACTCAATTCAGCTTTCAGCAAACTGACGCCAGAATCTGTAGGAAGACAAGCAAGGCCGCCTCTCCCAATGGCACGGTTCTCCCGCCTCCACCCTGAGGGCGTGCGAGTGGCGGCTGCACCTGTTGGCTGCTTACTACCGGAGACAGCGGCCTGCAGTCACACAGCCAAACCAAACTCGTTCTTCTGTTTGTTTTTTTTGAGATGGAGTCTTGCTCTGTCACCAGGCTGGAGTGCAGTGGTGCGATCTCGGCTCACTGCAACCTCCACCTCCCAGGTTCAAGCGCGTCTCCTGCCTCAACCTCCCGAGTAGCTGGGACTACAGGCATGCACCACCAAGCCCAGCTAATTTTTATATTTTTAGTAGAGATGGGGCTTCATCATGTTGAACAGGATGGTCTCGATCTCTCGACCTCATGATCTGCCCACCTTGGACTCTCAAACTGCTGGGATTACAGGGGTGCGCCACCAGGCCCGGCCCAAACTCGTTCTTTTTGGCAGACAGCGTTCATCATGTGAATGACTGCATCAGCTAGATGGATTTATTCACCTACCATAGAGGACACACCGGTGGCCCATCTGTCCGGTGGGGCCCACTGGGAGCAGCCCTGCTCAGATCCAGCAGCGGTCCCACAGGATCTGCCAATGCCTGAGGCCAACACGTACCCGGACACTGCCCAGCCCTAACTCCTGCTCTGCCTGCTGAGAGCAGCTTGATAAATTAGCAACGGCAGGACAGCCCAGCCCAGCCCCGGCTCACCTGTTACACGTGGACCCTTTGCACCTGTCCTTCATCTTGGTGTCACATCCGACGACTTGTGCTAGGAGAGAAATGCAGAAATACACATCACGGCACAAAAGCGGGAGGGTAAGAAGACCTTTCCCCATGCTGAGGGACATACCGGAACATTCTGTAATCCAATCCCTGCTATCCTAAGAGCAAGGGCCCTGCCTGATGGTTGCAGGCTTCCACTGGGGGCTCAGGGCTCAGACCCCAGGTCTACCGCTTTACAGTAGCAGCGTGACCATGGACAAGTTACTTCCCCTGTCTGAGGTTCATTTCCTGCATATGAACAAGCGGGACAGTGGCAATAACCTGCCTTCAAGGGCTTTTGTGAGCACTGAGTGAGAAAGTGAACCTGGCCTTGGAGGGTGCGTGCACACACTATGCGCCTGCGGTCCCACAGGGCTCTGCAGGGCAGGACTGATGAGGGGTAGAGAGGACCCCGCTCCGAGCCTGTGGGGCAGGACACCCAGCCAGGCTCACCGGAGTCATCTCCTCCACTGCCAACAGGCCTTTTGCAAAGCTTTTTGCTTTATTTTATGGGGACATATCAGAGTCTCGGAGTCCTGTTATGGTCTGAAAAGGGACTTAAACGTTGTATGTTATTAAGAGAAACAATGGCGCCATTTTGAACTCCTGGACAGACAAGGGTCTCAGGACATCTCCTGGTGAAAGCAAGCTACAGGATGATTCAATATCACAGGCAAAGACATTTGAAGAGGACAGAGAGACACTGGTGGGGCCGGGGAGAGGGTAGTTATGAAAAGAGGGTTCTGAGGAGGTGAGTGTGAGGCTGCTCCTCAAACAGGGGCCAGGTGGAGGGCCTTTGAGGCTTGGGGGGCAAACGGAGAGAGCCAAGGGCATCCAGCCCAGGCCTCCAGCCACGCTGGAGTGAAAACGCCCCTCCGCGGCCCGGGCCTGCAGAAAGGGGGGCTGCGAACGAGGCCCCGCAGTAGTGTCTGGGGAATTGGACGGGGAAGTGAAGGCCGCAGGAACAGAAGCTGGACGAGCTGAGGCGCCCGGGGAGCCCAAAGGCCAGAGGCAAGCAGGGGAATAGTCGATATTTGGGGGATTCCCAGAAGTCTCAGGGAGGGGGAAATATCTCTCGGGGAATGACAGGCAACTCTGCAGTGATCTCCATGTACAGGGAGGCCTCAGCTGGCCCCGGGTGACTCACGTTGCTTCAACTTACCCTCTGGGCAACCCTGATGCGGCATCACTGCCCCCACTTCATGGATGAGCCCACTGAGTCCCACAGCCGAGACCCGGTAAGGAATGAGTGGAGCCTGCCAGAGCCAGGATGGACACCGCCCTCAGCAGGGCCAGCACTTCCCAGAGGAAACCGACTTCAGCCCAGAGCCCTTGTGAAAGGACCAGGGAAGGTCTAACCTTAAAATACCTGCCTGGGGGAAAACAATGCCACCCAAGCGCGACTCCTATAATGCTTGCTTTTGAAATGACTTTAAAATATCCCTTTTGAAAAATGTGCTCCCATGAGCTTCGCCGTCCCCTGTTCCGTTTGTGGACTTGGAGACCTAAATCCACTAGCTCCCCTCCTCCCTGCACCCGTGCCCTTTGGAGGTGGCTGGGAGGGAGGCAGCAGCGGATGATGGCCGGGACTCACTCATGTAGGTGACCGCGGAGGCTTTCTTGGGCTTGGTGGGTCTGTTCACCCTCGGCTGGAGCCAGACATGGTTTTCTTCAGGAATGGGAGCCGTTTCCACCTCGTTCATCTCGTCTGTTTCAGGTTTTGAGGTGTGGGTCTCTTCTTAATAGAGGAGAGGAAGGAAAAGAGAAATCACACACTGGGATTCAACAAAAACGCACTTTGGGGGAAAAAAAGCCATTTGAAAACTAAACTTGTTTGAGGTTTGGTTTTACAAAGAATCATTTCAGTGGCAAAGACAAAGTTACATTTCAGAACAGAACTGGCCAGGTGGAATTCTACCAGCCCAGATGAGACGGGGACGTTTTCTGCTCACTGTGTTTGCTTTGGACCCACGATCAGCCAGGCTGCCCAGAGGTTACTAGGCCCCATGCCCACACCTGGGTTATCATAATGGTTTCTTGTCCCATCTCCTCCTCTACCTGACCCTCTGCCCCAGGAAGCAGCTTCAAGAAGCTGCCTTAGGCCCGGCGTGGTGACTCATGCCTCTAATCCCAGCACTTTGGTAGGCTGAGGTTGGAGGATCACCTGAGGTCAGGAGTTTGAGATCAGCCTGGCCAACATGGCAAAATCCTGTCCCTACTAAAAATACAAAAATTAGCTGGGCATGGTGGCAGGTGCCTGTAATCCTGGGTACCTGGGGGGTCTGAGGAAAGAGATTTGCTTGAACCCAGGAGGTGGAGGTTGCAGTGAGCCGAGATCACGACATTGCACTGGTGGCAAAAGCAAAGCTCAATCTCAAAAAAAAAAAAAAAAAAAAAAAAAGAAGAAGAAGAAGAAACTGCCTCGACCACTGGCCCAAAGCCGTAGTGGTCTCCCGGGCGGTCCCGTGCCCTCAGGCTTACACTGGCGGAGAGGGTCTTCCTCATCACGACGCACAAAGGCCACCGTCAGTGCCCTGAGAACCCAACTGCCCCTCATACCAGCACACTTATGTCCATCCCTTCTCTCCCTCTGTGAGTCAGGGCCACTTAACCAGCTCAATCGATCTTCTGTATTGGAGTTTTGCTGCCCAATAATGTCAGACTCAACATGTAGAACTATCCAAAGGCCCAACTCCTGCTTTTTAAAAAATCTAGTTCAGCAGGTCCCCATCTTTTCCTCACTCAAGAACACTGTATATTACTATTTCTCCAACTATGACCATGACCCATGTTTTAAACATTTTAATTAACCAAACAGTTTGCACTTATTAAACCTCAGTTAGCTTATCTTCCAGTTTTCACCCCAAAAGACAACTAGAAACTCCTGACCAGCATCTGCAATTAGACCACCAGGAGACCCATCTGTAAATTTCAGCTAAAGCAAATAAACTAACTGCTATTTTCATTTGCCTGAGCTGCCTGATCAAGGACAAATTCATGAGCGTCTCTGCTGGCCCCCTTCACACCGTTATTTACGGCAGGCACCTCCCATGCTGCAACAGATGTCTCTGGACCAGAGTTGGAAATCTGTGGCCCCCAAGCTCCCCAAACGAAAAAGGTAATAGATGTGTTTGGGGGAAAACAATTTCAAGGAGAGTAACTAGAGCACCCTCGCAGTTCTCTTAGTGATTTTGGATTAAAGTCCAAGTTTCAGGGCCAGGCGTGGTGGCTCATACCTGTAATCCCAGCACTTTGGGAGGCCAAGGCCAGAGGAATGCCTGAGATCAGGAGTTCGAGACCAACCTGGGCAAATGGTGAAACCTCATCTCTACTAAAAACACAAAAATTCGCTGGGCATGCTGGTGGGTACCTGTAAACTACTCGGGAGGCTGCAGCAGGAGAACTGCTTGAACCAGGGAGGCGGAGGTTGCAGTGAGCCGAGATCACGCCACTGCACTCCAGCTTGGGTGACAGAGTAAAACTCCGTCTCAAAAAAAAAAAAAAAAAAAAAAATCCAAGTTCCATCAAGTGTTCCTCAATTCCTAAGTCTTATTTCCACTTCTTAAAATACATAAGCTTTCTTTGCTAAAGGACAGACCAAGTATTTTGTGTCTACATAACACCCAACACCCAAATGAGGGACAAATGAGTGACTCCCTGGTGACTTCCCCGGCCAGGGCACCCTGTAGCTGCTTCACTGGCCAATCTCACTACCTACAACCACCAACCCAGGCTGGTCCTATCCCACAGGGGAAGGGACGGCTTTAGGTCAGAAGGTGGGAAGCCATTCTGAGCCCCAGTTCTAATGTTGGACGTGTTCATGGGTCGCCCTGTACTGCTCCCCAGCAGCTTGCTTATGGCTGTCATTTCCCCATCACCCACCTCATCCACCAGCTGCAAACTTCCAGACGCCAGGGCCCAGCCTGCTTTACACCGGGCACCCAGCAGCTGCTCAACAAAATTCGTCAAATGCATGAATTACCAAACCCCCCAGAGAATCCTGTCACCTAAAGAAAAGAGTGTACGTCCAGCAGATGAGCTTAAGGACATTCAAGATGGGAACTCTGGAAGCACCTCTACTAGCAGAAGCTATCGGTGGAAGCTTCAGGAAGACACCAGGTTTGCAAAGGCGCATGTCTGTTCTTCCCGTCAATGAGGCCATTCAGGCTTGCCCTCACTGAGTGGCAGCTGGCTGGAGAATAAGCCGGGTTTTCTTCCACTGGCCTTAGCATGTTTAGACCTCATAATCGCAGCTTTATTTAGCCGAAGAGAGTTTGGTAAAGCGGTCTAAAGCATTTGAGGGCTCTCTATTTAAGAAAATGGGCAGACAGACAGTCCTGGCCCTCACACCCACACACGAAAAGGGGAAGGTTTTACCCACAGGATGGGCTGGATCTGAGTACCTCCTAATTAAGGTACCTCGTAGGGAGCAGCACGGGCCTGGGGAAATTCCGTGCAGAGGTCACAGCAAAGTTATTCTATGCTCCATCCCGCTCCGGGCTGGGGGTCTCAGGGCCCAGGGCACTGATTATGTCACTCTGCAGATTCCCACCTGGTTCTAAAACAATGCTAATGTTCACTAAGCACGGGCCAGAGGCCGGCTGGGCCCTCCCTGCCTTTTCTCCCGTCAACCTCCCATTGCCTTCAGAGGCATGACTGGCTGCACTTCACAGAAGGAGGAGGAGGCCCGGAAAGGGCAAGGCTGCCCAGGCTCACACAGCTGGGGACTAGCGGAGATGGGAGTCAAACCACTTTTCCCGGAAGCCTGTGCCTTCTATCACCACGCAGGCAGGAGTGGGAGGGGAGAAACCTCTTTAATATCCTTATGCCTGCTTGATCTCTGTGAGAGGTCAAGACCTCACCAGGCCCCTGGATATGCACCTGGTAAGTGGCTTCTGCTGATAAGCCGCTTCAGAGGAGACAGGATGCATAAGTAGCTATGAAAATTGGGATGCCTGCCAAGGGAAGTTGAATATTCCCACCAAAAATTTAAAAAATCAGCACACAGAGCTATGTTGGCAGGGGTAAACTGGCATCTAAGGTCCCTGTGTATATTTGTTCTTTGAAAATGCCCCTCTGTGACTATTGGCATATTTATTTAAACAATGCATAGGGCACCCATGCCATGTGCCCCTGGAGACCCCGGAGTGAGCGGACAGCTGAGGCAACAGGACGATCAAGGTTCCCAAGGAGTCTGGAGGGTGCTGAATATAGGCAGGTGCACTGTCTGTGAAGTCCAGGAAGGCTCCCCGGAGGCGGGGGTCACACCACGACTGCCACACATGGCACATGACCCAGAGGACCTGGCACAAACTGATTTGTCATAGCAGATTTTGCAGAAAAGATCCAGATGGTCTGTCTTAGTGTCCAGATCGCTGCTTCTTCTGTCCCTATCCCCGCTGAGGACCCGTCCCCAGCGGGCAGAGTCAGCCATGAACAGCTGGCTGGGACAAGAGAGCCTGGCTCCTGAGAGGGTCTGGGACCCCTGATCGAGCCCACCTGTTCTTCACTCTGGAGCCCGCCAGCCTGGTCCTGCGTCTATCCCACCCTCTCCTGCTAGCGGAGCCAACTCAAACCTCTATAAGGCCCCTAGGTCACAACAAAGCTGCTGATGGAGCCACGCAAAAAAACAAGCCTGGGCTTGTGGTCAGCCCCAGCCCAGCCACGCCACACTGGGGACAAAACTTCTGGAAGCCCGAGGAAATAACCCAAAACATGAGAAACTTGTGTTATTTATAGTAGCAGAAGAAATGGACACATCCTGACTGGAAACCAATAAAGAAATGGTGGGTGGGCATGATGGCGCATGCCTGTAATTCCAGCACTTTGTGAGGCTGAGGAGGAAGGATTGCTTAAGCTGGGAGTTTGAGACCAGCCCGGGCAATATAGTGAGATCCCATCTCTATAAGAAACTTAAAAAATTAGCTGTGGTGGCATGTGCCTGTAGTCCCGGCTACTCGGGAGGCTGAGACAGGAGGATCGCTTGAGCCCGGGAGGTAGAGGCTGCAGTGAGCCGAGACTGCACCCTGCACTCCAGCCTGGGCAACAAAGGGAGGCCATGTCTCAAACAAACAAACAACAACAAAAAAGGTGACCTAGGTAGAAAATCACACTGCCTCCAACAGCTCCAGTTCTGACGGCTGTAGGAGTCGGGGACAGAAACCTTTAGCACAGTTGGGGGAGCACGAGCAAGACATGCCTGATGGGAAGGCCAGTGGGGCAAGGACACAGGAGGAAGGGCCACACAGCCCGGGAGGAATGATCCTGCCCAGCCATCCTGTTTGCAGGTGCTTCCCGCTAGTGAGCTCATTTGGAATATCACGTTGTTTGCTTTTGCTTTCTTGTTCGAATGTCTGCTTTATTGCTTTTTTTTTTTGTTTTTTTGTTTTTAGCATTGGGGTCTGGCTGTGTGGCCCAGGCTGGAGTGCAGTGGTACCATCATGGCTCACTGAAGTCTCAAACTTCTGGGCTCAAGCGATCCTCCCACCTCAGCCTCCTAGGCCATAGCCTGGACCACAGGTGTGCATGACCACACCTGGCTAATTTTCTATTTTACTTTTTGTAGAGATGGGTTCTTGCTATGTACTCCCGGCTGATCTTGAACTCCTGGCCTGTGATAGTTAATACTGAGTGTCAGCTTGATTGGATTGAAGGATGCACAGTATTGATTGTGGGTGTGTCTGTGAGGGGGGCTGCCAAAGGAGATTAACATTTGAGTCTGTGGACTGGGAAAGGCAGACCCGCCCTCAATCTGGGTGGGCACCGTCTAATCAGCTCCCAGAGTGGCCAGGATGTAAAGCAGGCAGAAAACTGTGAAGAGGCAGGACTGGCTTAGCCTCCCAGCCTACACCTCTCTCCCGTGCTGGATGCCTCCTGTCCTCGAATATCGAACTCCAAGCTCTTCAGCTTTGCGACCTGGACTGGCTTCCTTGCTCCTTGGCTTGCAGACAGCTATTGCGGAACCTTGTCACTGAGTGAGTTTAAACTCCTTAATAAACTCCCTTTTATCTATGTATCTATCCTATTCTGTTCCTCTTGAGAACCCTGGCTAATACAGATTTTGGTGCCAGGAGTAGTCCTAGAGGAACAGAATATTAAAGATGGAGTTCTTTCATTGGTTTTAGGGTTTCTGGAATTGGCTGCTTAATATGATTAGACCCCAAAATGCTAAGGACCCTACTGCTAATAGTATGGAGAGTCATACAAAATAAATGTATTTGACACTCCTGATTCAGTGCTCATGAGAGGCAAGGAGTTTAGTGACTCTATACCTGAGACCTTTGACCATATATGGAGAACCAAGGAACATAATGAAGCTGGTTAGTTGCTCCTCGGTTCAGTGGACAAAGTGATGAAAGAAAATGATGAAGGGATCCTAACTCCCGGCTTCAGAAGCAGATACTGAGCCTCAAATCTGCCAAGATCGTCCCGAGTAAGTCTTATCTCCTGTAGAGGAAGAGCTGAAATTGTGGGAAAACAAACAGGTTCTTCTCAAGCAAGCGGTTGGCCTGCAGCCAAGGTGGATGCACAGCCTCGCCAGGTGTCTACTATTAATGTGAGGGCCCGACTGGAAAAGAATGGGAGCCTGCAACTTAGAATGGGGACATGTGGGAGGACCCTGTTGAAGCTGGGGACACTGAGCTTGTACCTGCTGACAAACCTTTTTTTGCCGGAAGAAACAACCCCCAGCCCCAGTAGTGGCAACATCCCCTCCCTGACACAGGCCGCCATCAGCGTTTCCATGTTTGTCTGAGGGGATAAACCCTGCACTGCCTGAGGCAACAGTGATGGCCTCCCCTGAGGCTGAGGCCCGGCAAGATAACGTTGATTCTGCTCAGGGGCCACCCCCAACATCCATGTTTGTTTCTAGACCTGTAAGTAAAGTCCTGGTGGGCACCTAGAGGTGAGGTTCAGAGGGGGACATGTGAGGAGGTGTGCTACACTCGAAAATGACAGCTTGAGTTTTCTAATGTACATAAGCAGAACTCTGGAGAACAGGCATGGGAATGGATATTAAGGGTAGGGGACAATGGCGGAAGGAACACAGAGTTGGATCAGGCTGAATGTATTGATTTGGGCACTAAACAGGGACTCTGCATTTAATGCTGCAGCTAAGAGAGTCACAAAAGGTTCCTCACTTTTTTTATTTGCTTTATTTGCTGGATAGCTGAAATGTGGATTAAAAGGTGAACCACTGTGAGCAAACGAAGTGCCTGATCTCCCTTGGTTTACGGTAGAGGAAGGGAATCAAAGGCTTAGGGAGATTGGGATGGTGGAGTGGACGAGTCACTTTGGGCCTATGCATCCCAGCGGGGAGAGTCCAGAATATATACTCCTGATTAATGGCTTATGAAACAGATTTGTAAAGGCAGCACCTGCATCTGTGAAGAGCCCTGTAGTTGCTCTTCTCTGTATGTCAGATCTAACGGTGGGAACCGCAGTCACTCAACTACAAAATTTAAATACAATGGTGGGAATAATTGAATCCCAAGGTGGTAAGGGCCAAGTGGCAGCACTCAATTGTCAACGGCAAGGGGGGTATAGCTACCATAATGGACAGCAGACGCAAAGCAGCAGTCAGAATAGTTTAACTCGTGTAGAGTTGTGGCATTGGCTAATTAATTGTGGTGCTCCTAGAAGTGAAATGCATAGGAAGCCTACTGCATTCCCACTTAATTTACATAAGCAGAAAACTTCTAGGTCCAGTGGACCAAAGACTAATTTGAATTATTAAAACAAAGAATCATGGCCTATCAAGTTCCAGACTTGAGCCAGTTTACAGACCCAAAACCCCTTGAATGAAGGGGAGGCTGGGTCCCCTTGAGGAAGGACCCCACTATGCTACCAAAAATTTATGCTGTTAATCTTTCTCCCATCCTCCCCCAAGGAGACCTCTGCCTTTCATCGGGGTGTCTGTGCACTCAGGAAAGGGAAATGATCAGATATTTTGGGGACTATTGGACACTGGCTCTGAGCTGATATTGGTTCCAGGGGACCCGAAATGTCATTGTGGTCCTCTAGTTAAAGTAAGGGCTTACGGAGGTTAGTAATTAATGGAGTTTTTGTTCAGGTCTCACTTACAGTGGGTCCCTGGACTCACCCTGTGGTCATTTCCCCAGTGCCAGGATGCATAATTGGCATAGACATACTTAGCAGCTGGCAGAAGGCCCACATGGGCTCCCTGACTGGTGAGGTGAGGGCCATTATGGTGGGAAAGGCCAAACAGAAGCCATTAGAGCTGCCTCTCCCCAGAAAAATTGTAAATCCAAAACACTATCACATCGCTGGAGGGATTGCACAGATTAGTGCCACCATCAAGGACGTGAAAGACACAGGGGTGACGATTCCCACCACAACCCCATTCAGCTCTCCCATTTGGCCCGAGCAGAAGACAGATGGATCTTGGAGAATGACAGTGGATGGTCATAAGCTTAACCAAGTGGTGACTCCGGTTGCAGCTGCTGTACAACATGGGGTTTCATTACTTGAGCAAATTAACCCCTCTCCTGGCACCTGGTATGCAGCCACTGACTTGGCAAATGCCTTTTTCTCCATTCCTGTCCATGAGGCCCACCAGACGCATCTGCCTTCAGCTGCAAGGCCAGCAATACACCTTTACTGTGCTACCTCAGGGGTATGTCAGCCCTCTGGCTTTGTGTCATAATCTGATTCAGAGAGAACCTGACAGCGTTCACTTCTGCAAGATATCACACTGGTCCACTGCACGGCTGACATTATGCTGATTGGATCCAGTGAGCAAGAAGTAGCAAACACGCTGGACTTACTGGTGAGCCATCTGCGTGCCAGAGGATGGGAAATAAATTTGACTGAAATTCAGGAAACTTCTACCTTGATAAAATTTCTAGGGTTCCAGTGGCATGAGGGCTGTCAAGATACTCCTTCTAAGGTGAAGCTAAGTTACTGCACTCTGCCTGCTACAATCAAGAAAGAGGCACGACGCCTAGTGGGCCTATTTGGATTTTGGAGGCAACACATTCCTCATCTGGGTATGTTACTCTGGCTCATTTATCGAGTGACCCAAAAGGCTGCAGTTCTGAGTGGGGTCCAGGGCAGGACAAGGCTCTGCAACAGGCCCAGGCTGCTGTGTGAGCTGCTCTGACACTTCGGCCATAGGACCCAGCAGACCCAATGGTGCCTGAGGTGTCAGCGGCAGGCAGGGATGCTGTGTGGACCCTTTGGCAGCCGCCACAGGAAAATCACAGCAGGGCCTCTGGGATTTTAGAGCAAGGCCCTGCCGTCTTCTGCCGATAACGACTCTCCTTTTGAGAGACAGCGCTTGGCCTATTACTGGGCTTTGGTGGAAACTGAATGTTTGGCTATGGGTCGTCAAGTGACCGTGCCACCTGAACTGCCTATCACAAACTGAGTGCTTTGTGGCCCATCCAGCCAGAAAGCTTGGGCACACAGTAAATATTACAATTCTTATTATTACTATTTTGAGACAGAGTTTCCCTCTTGTTGCCCAGGCTGGAGGGCAATGGCATGATCTCAGCTCACTGCAACTTCTGCCTCAGCCCCCTGAGTAGCTGGGATTACAAGCATATGCTACCATGCCCGGCTAATTTTTTTTTTGTATTTTTAGTAGAGACAGGGTTTCATCATATTGGTCAGGCTGGTCTTGAACTCCCGACCTCAGGTGATCCACCTGCCTTGGCCTCCCAAAGTACTGGTATTACAGACGTGAGCCACTGCGCCTGGCCCCCAGCCTATTTGATATAAAACTATGAACGCTAACAAGGGTGAGCAGTGCGTCTGCGTTTAATGCCGTGTGCAGCATCCGCAGAGCCAGGCACAGGAGATGCCCAAGAGAAGCCACGTCTTGGAGTCGTGGGGCTTTCCAGGGGCCTGGAATAAGCCCAGACCCTCGAGGTGAGGCTCAGCTCATCACGGAGCCGAGAGGAATGTGCTGACAGTGTCTTGTAAGGCAGGGTAGGGCTGACTTTGACTTCTTTAATTCCCTAACGCTGTTGCATGACTCAGACTGAGGACAAATTCTTCGTGAAAGTGTTGGGAGTAAGTTTCCTACCTCGGTAACACAAGTTGTTCCTGCAGCCGCCGCCGTAGCTGGGCGGGCACTCAGAGCAGGGCCGGCCATTCTTATAGGGAGCTTCTCCAATCCAGTTCCCCCTGAGGACAGACCAAAAACAACCATCAGAGGGACCCACCACGTGAGGCCCTGGTCCTCTTCCAAGGCTGGCTTGAGTCCCTGACAGGTCAGGGAGGAAGATGCGTGCTGTGTGAAGCGGCAAACGTGGCTGTCCCAGCCCCTCCTGTGCACAGAGAGTCTAGAGAATTCCAGAATCCCAGCGATGCTGCAGAAGCGAGCTACAAGATGCCCTTCCACCCAGTCCCTTTGCCCTGGCTGGCTGTAAGCCCCCAGACACCCCCACGACCCCACTTCCACCAACACTCCTCTAAACGCTGTCAGGGTCCCCAGATCCCAACACCTTAGCACTGAAAAGCTGCCAGGACCCCCTTTTAAGGCATTTTTCAAATGTGTAAAGCCAGCCTGTGCCAGAGACGGCTTGCGCCTCCCCAGTTCTTACCGCACGCCATCCCTGGTCTGTGTTTCTCACCCCATCTCCCCAGCACCCCAGGAGGGAAGAGCTGGAGTTCAATACTTTCGCAGAGAAGGAAACCAAGGCACAGTGAGGTTAAGTGACTTGTTCCAGGCCACAGAGCAAGTGCGTGGCGGGCCTGGGATTCCAGCCCAGGCTGTTGGGCTCAGAGCCTTATTTAGGCTGAGTCAAAGGTCTCTCTTGGGTCACAATTGCTCCCTGCCTCCCTCTGGAGTTCCCAGGGGCAGGAAAACTGGAGGCTGCACCATAGGTTTTCTCCAGGGGCCAGGTAGTAGTGACGGTCAGAATCCCCAGTCCCTTCCTGCAGCTCCTGGGCTGTGAAGAGCGGGCTCCCCGGGTTGGGCCCCAGGCTGCCAGCGTGTGCCCTCAGCCAGCCTCCTCCAGCCCCAGCCCCAGGCTCAGTCTCCTTCTCTGTAAAATAGGGATGAGGCAGCAGGGGTGCTGTGAGACGGTGGGAGTGACCTTGGGAAGCCCTTGGTCACCTGGCTCATGGGGAAGAAATCCACAAGCTTGTGGGGGAAATGCTCTGATGCTTTCCAGGGAAGACGGGGAGGGGCTCTGCCAGCATCGGCCAAAGACAATCGGCAGGAAACACATTGGGTCTGACAGGATCCATCCTTACAGAATGGCCTAGAACCTCCCGTGGCCCCAGAAGCAGCCTGGCCTCACCAAGGGTCCTGTGTGCCGTGTGGTGCGGCAGGCCAGGGCTGGGCACTCTCTGATGCTGACGTGCACATGGCCTCTCCCACGCTCCCACATTCCGGAGGCAGAACGACCGTGTCCGTGCCATGCCACGAGGCATCCCCGCTCAGACACCCTCTGCTCAAATCCCCAGAGGACTTCGGGATGACCCCCCGACAAGGACCGCCACCAAAGGACCGAGAGGGCTCAGAGCCCGTCCCGTGTCTGGGTGGAGCCCAGCCGGTTTCTTCAATGACCGTGGCCCTGTCGTGGGTACATCCCACTGCTGCTGCCAGGCTTCCCCGTGAGTCTAGGGTTCTCTATTTCCTCAGACAAAGCACACCACCGACACTCCCAGCTCAATCCTTCATCCTCAGGGTTGGCATTGACGGAAGGCCGGCTGGGCAACAGGCCCTGCAGATGAACGGTATTCTTAATTATTGAGACGGAGTCCTGCTCTGTCACCCAGGCTGGAGGGCAGTGGTGTGATCACAGCTCACTGCAGCCTCAACCTCCTGGGCTCAAGCAATCCTTCCACCTCAGCCTCCCAAGGAGCGGGGAATACACGCATGCACCACCACACCCAGCTAACTTCTTCTATTTTTTGTAGAGATGGGGTTTTGCCAGTTGCCAAGGCTGGTCTTGAGCTCCTGGGCTCAAGCGATTCCCTCGCCTCAGCCAAAGGAGGCTGGGATTCCAGGCATGAGCCACCTCGATGGCCAGTCTCCTTAATTTTTGAATAGCACCATGAAGTACCTACTCTGCTTCCCTCACACACAAAGCCCTCTAGGTACACACCCACTCCACCCTTGTCTGGCTGGGCATCCCCCTCAAGGGATCTGAGCCCCCACCACACCCACTGCCACCCTCCCAGCCACCCTCCCCACCCTGGTGTGTGGGACAGTGTCCTGCACAGCCCAGGGGCTCAGACCCTCTTTCTAAGAAAGAGGCCGTGGACAGCACGCAGTGACACACAGCGGTCAAAAGGAAAGAACCGGTGACCACCCAACCCCGCAGGAAACCTCACAGATGTGATGTTGAGCAAAAGACCATTTGGGGGCACAGGGAGTGTGCTGTGTGGCCCCCATCATGTGAGGTCCACACTCCACACCACAGACCCATGGGGAAGACGCGGGAATGGTGGTCACTTTGCGGGGCACGAGGAGCCTCTGGGGCGTGGGAAACACTGTCCATCTCCATCTGGATGGTCGCTACACAGGTAGAGGGCCACTGCCATGGACTGAGTGCATCTGTCTCCCGAAATCCCAGGGTCAAAGCCTGAACCCCTGGGTGACTGTACTTGGAGATGGGGCCTTGAGGAAATTAGCTAAAGTTAAATGAAGTCAACAGGTGAAGGCCTGATCCAATAGGACAGGCATCCTCATGTCTCACCACCATGCAAGAAGGCGGCCATTGCTGAGACAGGAAGAGCCCCGACCGGAGCCCGACACTGCCACACCTTGATCTGGGGGACTTCCGGCCTCCAGAATGGTAGAGATAAAGTTCTGATGTGTAAGCTGCCAAGGCTGTGGCATCTGTTGTTGCAGCCCCAAAGACTAATGCATTGTGAGAACGTGTCAGGCTGTATACTTAGGGTGAGTATATGGCCAGGCACGATGGCTCACGCTTATAATCCAGGCACTTTGGGAGGCCAAGGCAGGCAGATCACAAGGTCAGGAGTTTGAGACCAGCCTGGCCAACACAGTGAAACCCCATCTCTACTAAAAAATAGAAGAATTAGCTGGGCGTGGTGGCAGATGCCTGTAATCCCAGCTGCTTGGGAGGCTGAGGCAGCAGAATCACTTGAACCCTGGAGGCGGAGGTTGCAGTGAGCCGAGATCACATCACTGCACTCCAGCCTGGGCAACAGAGGAAACTTCAGCTCAGGAAAAAAAAAAAAAAAAGATGAGTATATTTTACCACATGCAGGTTATTCCTTTATTTTGAAAAGCAGTCTCGTTCTGCTGTCCAGGCTGGAGTGCAGTGCTGCGATCTCAGCTCAGGGCAATCTCCTCCTCCAGGGCTCAAGCGATTCTCTGGCCTCAGGCTCCCCAGTAGCTGGGACTACAGGCCCACGCCACCATACCCAGCTAATTTTTGTATTTTGTAGAGACGGGGTTTCATCATGTTGGCCACCATGGTCTCGATCTCCTGACCTGGTGATCTGCCTGCCTCAGCCTCCTAAAGTGCTGTGATTACAGGTGTGAGCCACTGCACCTGGCCACTTATTACTCTTTTTAAGGAAGCAGGGGGTGGCTACAGAAGGAAAGAATTTCATTTCTGATAGGACCATGTAGTGTCTATTTTTTATACAGAGTCAAGTCAAATGATTTCATTTCCACCTGCTGCTGGACTGGGAATTGCACCACCTTGGACCAGCCTGCTGCTCTTGCCTGGGGCCTGCGTCTCTCCTGGGCAATGACATACCCTCAGCTTATCCATGTGGGCTGCCCAGCGGCCCTGCCACTGCAAACGTGCCAGATGGTTTTGGGAGACCTTCTATTTTTCCTCCCAACCTCAGCGATTCCCCCTTCATCCCACCTTTTCACAACTGCTTCTGACCCAAAACAAATAAATGAGGTCACTCCCTTTTCATTCAGTCACTAAGCAAACATGCCCGGGGCCCACTCTGAGCAGGACACAGGGGAGAACAGTGGTGGCCAGCAGTGGCAAGCGCAAACCTCAGGCCGTGAGCAGGGGGAACGGCTCTCCAAGAATCAGCACATATTTGTCCCATGAGCAAATGAGTCAGGACTGGATACCACATTGATGATGTGAGCGTGCTGTAGGCAGAGGAGGCTGCGTGCCGACCCTCTTCGGGGAAACAGAGAAGCAAGGCTACGTGGGAACGTGTGTTTTCTAGGGTGCTGTCTACTGCATGTTTTCAGAGAAAAATAATCACACAGCCAGGGCAGGCCATGCCGGCTGTGCAGCCAGCAGCTATTCACGCTTCTGACTCTGTTCAGCTGGTCCCAGAGGATGTCTTGAAAAGCCAGTTGGGGCAGTCTTGTTCCCCCTCACCTATGATTGGTCTAATTCTGGCCAACATAAGTAGAAAGTGTGTCCGTGTGTGGAAGACCTAAGGAGAGAGGCTTTTTACCATCCTTCCCTCTGCTTGGGGAGATGTGATGTTGGTGCTCTGCAGCCATCTTGGGACCATAAGGAGAGAATGGCACGACAGGAAGATGAAAAGGACCTGAGTCCTTGTTGTCTCTGCTGAGCTATTAAGCTAACTCAGATGCACCGAAGTCCAGACTCCTTGTTATGTGAGATAATAAAGACTCTGCTGCATAAGCCGGTTTTAAGTGGGTGCTCCAGGGCAAGCAAACACATCTGAACTCCCACCCATACAAACACGTCAACTTGTCTTACTTGGGAGCATAATTGCAGACGAGGTACACCGCATTCTCCCAAACGTCTCCCCAGACTGTCATCCTCCGGCAGGTGTTCACAGCACAGCCAATCCTGTTGGTGGTGGCCCAAACTATCTGAAAAGATGACATCTGTTTGTCACAGCTCAAGGGACAAGGCACAAAAGGGTGACGCAATCCAGCTGGATGTATAAGGTGCTAGCACTGAAGTGGTTTGCGGTAGAGAGTTGGGGAGGCAGATATTAGTCCCTAGCTCACTGAAGATACATGGATTTTCTCAAAAAGCAAGCAAGTGGGCCAGGAGCAGTGGTTTACGCCTGTAATCCCAGCACTTTGGGAGGCTGAGGCGGGTGGATCACGAGGTCAGGAGTTCAAGACCAGCCAGACCAACATGGTGAGGTCAGAACTATTTTTATTAGAAACCTCTTCTCTACTAAAAATACAAAAATTAGCTGGGCGTGGTGGCACATGCCTGTGATCCCAGCTACTCAGGAGGCTGAGGCAGGAGAATCGCTTGAACCTGGGAGGTGGAGATTGCAGTAAGCCAAGATTGCGCCACTGCACTCCAGCCTGGGTGACAGAGCGAGACTCCATTTCAAAAAAAAAAAAAAAAAAAAAAAAAAAAAAAAAGAAAGCAAAAAAATCATCACACAATGAAAATGCCCCAGCAGTGTCAAATTGCCCTAAAACTTTCCTTGGTTGAGTGCAGCAGCTCACACCTGTAATCCCAGCTCTCGGGGAAGCTGGAGGAGGAGGATCGCAGGAGTTGGAGACCAGCCTGGAAAACATAGCCAGACCCACCTCTACAGAAACTACAAAAATTATCTGGGCCCGGTAGTGCACACCTGCAGTCCCAGGTACTCAGGAGGCTGAGGTGGGAGGACTGCTTGCCCAGGAGTTTGGTGCTGCACTGAGCTAAGATCATGCCATGGCACTCCAGACCAGGTGGCATCAAGACCCTGTCTCCAAGCCAAAAAAAAAAAAAAAAAAGAGTTTGTAGTGCTCACTCTGTTTCTGGCCTTGCCAGTGACAAACAGCTTATTCCAGCAGCTGTAGCTGGCACAGAACTGAATTTTTAAATGTTAAGGCAACAACAGCACAGAGGTTTTACAGATTCGGTCAGTCCCGCAGGGGCAGGGGGTAAACGACTGCGATTAGGGTGCAGGGCTGGGGTCGCGGCCAGTCCCCAAGGTACCTGTGTGTAGTGCGTGCACATGGGCCCCGAGCACCTCTCCGGACACCAGGGGTTGCACTCGCTCGGGTAGGGGTAGGTGTAGTCCTTCACCTCGTCATACCAGGACTGCACGTGGAAGCCGGGAGAGCGATACCTGCAGAGCAGAAACAGCCACGTCCCAGCCCCTCCCGCCACCTGCCAATGGAGGCCGCAGCAGCCACGGGCGGGTAGGAGGGAGGGAGGGCGAGGCGGGGGAACAGCCCCCAATTCCAGCAGCAGCCACGGGCCGATAGGAGGGAGGGAGGCCAAGGCAAGGGAACAGCCCCTAATTCCAGCAGCACCTGGTACAGGTGCTTAAAACCATTATCAGTGACGAGCTCACCTGGGGTCTCTATTAGGCTCCCCAGGTGGCCCACATACCACCTGCATGTGCAGGAAACTCTTAACCTGGCTAGCAATGAGTCCTTTTTCTTGTCAATTAGGTGTTTGTTTTCAGGTACATTGGAGAAAGAATACCCAGCCCATGAGCCCATATTTCACAGATATTATTGCCCAGGACAAAACCTGGTTAAGACGTGAGTTCATTTGAGGCTGAACATGGTAGCTCATGCCTGTAATCCCAGCATGTTGGGAGGCTGAGGCAAGCAATCACCTGAGGTCCGGAGTTCGAGACCAGCCTGGCTGACGTGGCAAAACCCCGTCTCTACTAAAAAAAATTTTTAAAAATTATCTGGCTGTGGTAGTGCATACCTGCAATCCCAGCTACATGGGAGGCTGAGGCAGGAGAATCACTTGAATCTGGGAGGCGGAGGTTGCAGTGAGCTGAGATCGCACCACTGCACTCCACCCTGGGCGACAGAGCAAGACCCTGTCTGGAAAAAAAAAAAAAAAAAAGGTGCCAACCTTGGCAGCTGAGGCTGAAGCAAAGGGGTGGTGGGCATGAAGCGATGACCTCACGGAGGACGTCCAGGGGCAGGTGCAGCTGGTGGCTGCCCAGGAGCTGTCAACAGTGCCTGAGATTCTCCTTGACAGGGAGGAGCCCAGGGTGGTGCTCCAGCTGATAAAATCTTAAGAAGTTTCTGGCTGAGCGCAGTGGCTCACGCCTGTAATCCTGGCATGTTGGAAGGCCGAGGCAGGTGGATCACTTGAGGTCAGAAGTTCGAGACCAGCCTAGCCAACATAGTGAAACCCCGTCTCTACTAAAAATGCAAAAATTAGCCAGGCACGGTGGCACATGCCTGTAATCCCAGCTACTTGAGTGGCTGAGGCAGAAAATTGCTTGAACCCGGGAGGCAGAGGTTGCAGTGAACTGAAGCTGAGATCATGCCACTGCACTCCAGCCTGGGCGACAGAGGGAGACTCCATCTCAAAAAAAAAAAAAAAAAAAAAAAAGAAAAAAGATAGTTTCTTAGGCTGGGCACAGAGGCTATCCCTGTAATCCCAGCACTTTGAGAGGCTGTGGTAAGTGGATCACTTGAGACCAAGAGTTCGAGACCAGCCTGGCGAACATGGCAAAACCCAGTCTCTACAAAAAACACAGAATTAGCTGGGCGTGGTGGTGTGCACCTGTGATCCCAGCTACTCGGGAGGCTGAGGCAGGAGAATCACTTGAACCTGGAAGGCAGGTGTTGCTATAAGCCAGGATGGCACTATTGCACTCCGCCCTGCACAACAGAGCAAGCCTCCATCTCAAAAAAAAAAAAAAAGTTCCTTAAAGTGTTTGCACACCTGACTGCAAAGCTCTGTGCACTTGGAGGCTTCTCTTGAATGAGCTTTTGGCTTTGTGTGTGGGTTTCTGGGTCCCCCAGCAGCTGAGGAAAGCAGCTGACCATGACGACACTGAAACCTGAGGCTGGATGCTCCTCTTCGCGGGGCGACAGGGACCCCTTTGCCCTGTCCTCCGAGGCTGGATTTGTTTCCAGCCTTCACTCTTTCCTGCTACAGGGGGTGTCCTCTCCGTGGTTTAGTTAATATTTTTCTCTACACAGCCTTTAAATACACTCATGTCTTTTTTGCGGGGAGAGGCTGGGATTACAGGTGTGAGCCACCGCGCCCGGCCTTTCTTTTTTTTTAAACTAGGGAAACAACGAAACTGGGTGCAAGTCCAGTCACACTGTTACCAGCAAGTATAAACAAAGTGGTTTCAATGAAGAGAAAACGCTCTCAGGGGAAATGACCATTTTAAGGGCTGTGTGGTGAGGGAGGCAGTTAGAGGTCTTGTAACAATTACTGTCTGGAAGCTGACAGGTGGCAGCGGTCAGCAGTCAGCGGCCAGCGGCGTGCCCTGGGGCCATTTGCGGAAAGACGTGCACACAGGGAGGAGGCAGGAGCAGAAGGCTGCTGGCCTCTCATCCGCTTTCCCGCAGGCTCGAGGTCACACAGACTCAAGGCTGGCGCTGGCATGGCTGTGGGGAAAGGAACCCACAGCTGCCCCAGGGCTCTTTTGCAAAGCAAGTTAGCAAAATTCCTTAAGAAGGGGGAAGTCTCTGTGCCCTTTGGCCCATCAATCCCGCTTCTCAGGAGTAATCCTAATGAAACCATTCAAGTGAGGCAAAATGAAAAGCAAAAACCAAAAATGAATCTGCAAGAGCCGTCGTGTCAACTGTGGTCTGTCCGCAGAGGGACCATTCGGGCATTTGCAGGGCGACACTCGTGACCACTGTATCCTTGAAAATGTCCCGATATTGTATGAAAAGGAGAAAAGAAGAAAGAGATTTCAAAGCGATCCAGGCCACAGTCGCAATGCTGTAAAACTATGTCGGCGCCCAGCCAAGTGCCACAAAGGAGCCCAGAAACATGCAAAGAGCCGAACCAGCTGGTGGAATACAGGCCTCCTCGCTTTGGACGCTTTCCTTTCATGTTATTGTAAGATGGTTTTTATAAAAGCTAACTTCAGCAGAGAAAAACCATGGTGCGGACCTGCCTCTGTGCAGTCGCAGCTGATCTGCCGTGACACCTGCTCGGTTTGTCCTGGAAACGCACGGATGCAGAGGAAGGTGTGGTTGCCTGTGGCCAGATGACACCCAGGCTAGGAAATCCCTCTGTGCGAAGTGAAAGCAAACCCTCACCTACATTTTAAGAGGCTGACGCCCAGTGCAACTTTTCAAGAATTAGGACAAAACGGATGTTGGTCCACGTCCTGGATGGGTCTGAGGATGTGCATTCTGGCCTTGGGCATGGCACACTCACTGGTCTTATGTGGACATTAGTTGTTGCCCTAGGCGTGGTCAAAAGACATTTTTCCACTTACCCCAATGAGACCAGCCCTCAGCCCCCAGGAGGGACTTCCGGCCTCTTGGGGAGCACAGATACGTGGTCCAGGTTACTTTGGGGAAGGCCAGTCGGCTGCATTTAACAGACAACCATCAATGCCTCCTACCGGAGACAAAACACTGCTAGACAAAGCAGCCTTGGGGGTCTGGAGAAGTTAATGAGTCTCCTGATGGCTGGATGACATGGGAAAGGCAAACGGCATCAGGCCAACAGGGTGGAACGAACCCGGCTCAGCCTGAAACCATGTGCAGAGCCAGACAGAAATGGCCCACCACGAACACAGCAGCTCACCCCACAGGAACAGGGGACTCAAGAACCCAGCACAGCAGATGGAATGGAAAACCCAAACTACAGGCCGGGCATGGTAGCCCATGCCTGTCATCCCCGCACTGGAGGAGGCCGAGGGGGGTGGATCACTTGAGGCCAAGAGTTCGACACCACCCTGGACAACATGATGAAACTCTGTCTATACCAAAAAAATAAGAAAAGTAGCCACGCGTGCTGGCACATGCCTACAGTCGTGGCTACTGGGGAGCTGAGGCTTGACAATCTCTTGAACCTGGGAGGTGGAGGTTGCAGTGAGCCACTGCACTCCATGCTGGGTGACAGAATCAGACCCTGTCTCAAAGAAAGAAAGAAAGAAAACCCAAACCATACACTTTAATCAATCCTCAGTGTCTGGGGTCAGCCAACCAAGCTTGAATACATTTTGTCAGTTACTCAGGAGTGTTCCTGGGTGCTGAGCCTCAGTTTGCCCAAATATCGATGGGATGGATGGTGTCTTTGCAGGCTAAACTTGACAATGGGCACAAGTGCTGAGCCTGGCACATGGCAATGGGGACCTTCAGCAGCTGCAGGGGAGCTTCTGGCTCTTACCTGCCCCAGTGGGCGGCCAGGTTCTGCCCGATGGACACCAGGAGACTGGTGGGCCCGTGCTCCCAGATGCACTGGCTGGCCCATGCTGTCGCTGACTTCTCCAGCTCATCGTCCCAGGTCTGCAGGAGGAGGAGAAACAGGCACCAGGAGGCAAGGATGAGGGAGAGGCGTAAGAAACATAAATGCAGCAACACCCCAGCCTGGGCCCCCACTGAGCCCACAGCCAGTGCTCTGCGGCTGTATCTCCGGCTTCCTGAATCAGCCAGGGGGGCGTGGCAGGCCAGAGGTGCCAGCTCCAAGCCCATCCTCAGGCCTCCTGTTGGGCCTCTAACTTGCCAGAGGTCCTGGGCAGGTGCCTTCTCTCTGGGCCTCAGTGTCTGTGAAACAGGAGTGGCCCTGCTGAGTGACCTCTGAAGGCTAATGTGGTGCGCTGTGTGGAAGAAAAGGGGGAGGTCAGCAGCCATCTCTAGGGACGGTCTTGGCCTGGGAGCCCATCCTGATGACCACGGCTTCCTCTCCTTACACATGTTCCATGCACACCAGGCCTTGGGCTTTACCCCAATCTTTTCATTACATCCTAACAGGGGGCCTCTTATCCTAACAGCAGACCTTTCTTATCCCCATCTCACAGGCAAGCAAATCAAGGCTTGGAAAAGCAACGCCAATTTCCCTGGGTCCCACAGCCAGCCGGCTGCAGAACCAGGACTTGAACCCAGGTCTTCAGGACCCTGGAGCCGGAGCTGTCTCCATGTATGCAGTTGTGTGTGGCCCACACAGGTAATAAGCTGATGCTATTCCTAGACCAAGGGCTGGAAATGAGAAGTTATCCGTGGGGTGCTGGATCGGTGCTCTGCATGCAGGTCCTGGAATGGCTGTGTGCGCCTAGGCATGCGGTTGCCCTCTCTGAGCCTCACTGTCCTCATCTGTAATGTGGGCATGTCCACAGCCCTCACTGTGCGCAGTCATGGGGACGGGAAACCTAGGAGGGGATGCCCAGCCCAGGGCCTGGCTGCAGTCAGGGAGGCTTTATCCACATCAGCCGCACTCAGGCCTGCAGGGAAAAGCAGCTGACATCCCTTGCAGGGGATTTTAGACTCTCACTGGCCACCTGCGGGGCCACACAGCAAGAGGGGCCCTGAGATGAATGGGTGCCACTTTCCAGTCGGAAGATAGAAAGTACCTGAGATGGACCGGGCGCAGTGGCTCGTGCCCGTCATCCCAGCACTTTGGGAGGCCAAGGCGGGCAGATCACTTGAGGTCAGGAGTTGGAGACCAGCCTGGCCAACGTGGTGAAACCCATCTCTACTAAAAATAAAAAAATTAGCTAGGCCTGCACAAAATGAGACTCGAAAGAAAGAAAGAAAGGCCGGGCGCGGTGGCTCAAGCCTGTAATCCCAGCACTTTGGGAGGCCGAGGCGGGTGGATCACAAGGTCAAGAGATCGAGACCATCCTGGTCAGCATGGTGAAACCCCGTCTCTACTAAAAATACAAAAAACATCAGCTGGGCATGGTGGTGCGTGCCTGTAATCCCAGCTACTCAGGAGGCTGAGGCAGGAGAATTGCCTGAACCCAGGAGGCGGAGGTTGCGGTGAGCCGAGATCGCGCCATTGCACTCCAGCCAGGGTAACAAGAGCGAAACTCCGTCTCAAAAAAAAAAAAAAAAAAAAAAGAAAAGAGGGAAGGAAGGGGGGGAGGGAGGGAGGGGGGGAGGGAGGGAAAAGAGAGAGAGAGAGAAAAGGCAGTGCCAGAGGCGGACGGCAGGGCTGGCCGCAGTGTGAACTTAATACCACAGAACTTCACCCTTCAAAATGGTTAAAATGGTCAATTTTATAGTTCGTATATTTTACCACAATAAAAACAAATTGACAAGTGATGTCTTCAGCTTGCCCAGCCCTGCTTACCTCCCAGCACGGCCCATCCTGAATCAGCAGGGCCTGGGCAGGGGTCTGGGCAGGGGTCTGGGTAGAGACTCTGAAGACAGGCTCTGCAGCCTAACCTCCTCAGGAACACACGCGACTCCTGGGGACAGAACCCCATGAACAGAGCACGCGTGTCCTTTCTCCCTTGCAGGGAACAGACACCAGACAGCCCCCAGTCCCAGCCGGCAGCTGACGCTTTGCTTCCTCCCTGGAGTCCTCCCGACGGATGCTCCCCCTCTGAGCAGACAGAGGCTGGCCTCCCTCCCTCTGCACACCCAGCCCCAGGCACACAGCAGATGCTTGTGGAAGACGGTCCCGCCTTAGCCCTGGGAGCCCCCGGCAGGAAGTAACTGCCCAACACAACGGCACCCACGCTTCCCTCTCTCCCCCTGTCCCACCAAGACTCCTCAACCGCCAAGGGACAACAAACCTTGAGTATCAGAGAGGTGAAGTAACCTGCCTGAGGTCACACAGCCAGGAAGGCTTTGACAACCCCCTCTTGTCTGGCTACAAAGGGGGCTCTTCCTGCTTTGCATACTGTAACCAAGTGGCAGACCCACCCCACTAAAATAATAAGTAACTGAAATATGCTAACGCAATATGCTAAATAACAGTGTTCACGTTTGCTCGGAACTGATCACACATCACCTCGTCACCCCCTCCAGACAGCCCTGTGAGGGGGTTTCTTGTTCCCATCGTGCAGGTGAGAACATAGACAGGCTAAGCAATCTGCCCGAAGTCACACAGCTGGCCAGGGACAGAGCTGGAGGAGGCAGGCTGGCCCCAGAGCCTGTCCACTCATGTCAGAACAGGCTGCTCAACTCTTTGGGGTTTTAGAATCCACCTTTTAGTGCTGAGGCTGTTTGGAAGGGCTGTGGCGTGAAGCCACAGCGGGCAGGGTTTAGCAGGACGCCACGTTTCCGAGACGCTCTCTCAAATCTGCATTGCCATCTGGGTGTGAACAAGAGCAGCGGGGCAAGGCAGCACAGGGCTGAAGGCGATGGGCAGAGTGGCGGGGCTTCTGCCTTCCCTTCCTTTCAGCCCCCTGCTCTGAGGCAGCCTCAGTAACATCCATGAAGGCTCAGCCTCCCCAGAAGGCCAGCCTTTTAGACCAAAGGACCCAGTCCCCAACTCCGATCCTGAAACATCACCAAGTCAGCAAATAGGAAAACATGAAAGGCCCCCTATGGCTGCCAGGCAGCCTGACTTTCCCTGCTGCAAAGAAGCTCCTTTCACTGGTGCTAAGTCTGGTGTGAAAGCAGAGGACCGCACAGTTCAGGGAGAAAAAGACCCGCACGAACCCAGCCTGCTCCAGACCAGGAGGCAGGAAGCATCTGGGATCCTGGGGGTGGCAGCTCAGTCAAGCTCCAGTCCCAGATGCCGACAACCTCTCCAGAGAGGCGTGGGGCCTCCTTGCCCCACAAGGACCAAGGCCAAGCCACCAGGGTTGTGCAGATGGGACATTCGATGGGTCTCAATGTTCCTGCGGCCCCTTTCCTTTCATTTCTCATAAAGCAACTCTTCCAACAGAATTTTCCAACAAGCCCCCTCTGCCCTTAGAAACTGGGGGCGAAAAAGTAAAACTAACATTGGGCACTGTGGCTCATGCCTGTAATCCCAGCACTTTGGGAGGCTGAGGTGGCTGGATCATTTGAGGTCAGGAGTTCGAGAGCAGCCTGGCAAACATGGTGAAACTGTGCCTCTACTAAAACTACAAAAATTAGCCAGGTGTGGTGGTGGGTGCCTGTAAACCCCGCTACTCAGGAGTATGAGGCAGGAGAATCGCTTGAACCTGGGAGGTGGAGATTGCAGTGAGCCGAGATTGCGCCATTGCACTCCAGCCTGGGTGACAGAGTAAGACTATTGAAAGAAAAAGAAAGAAAGCCAGGAAGGAAAGATGGGAGGGAGGAAGGGAGGGAGGAAGGAAGGGAGGGTGGTAGGGAGGGAGGAAGGAAGGAGGAAGGAAGGGAGGGAGGTAGGGAGGGTGGGAGGAAGGGAGGGAGGAAGGAAGGAGAAAGGAAAGCAGGGAGGTAGGGAGGGTGGGAGGAAGGGAGGGAGGAAGGGAGGAGGAAGGAAGGCAGGGAGGTAGGGAGGGTAGGAGGAAGGGAGGGAGGAAGGAGGGAGGAAGGAGGGAGGAAGGAAGGGAGGGAGGGTGGGAGGAAGGAAGGAGGAAGGAAGGCAGGGAGGCAGGGAGGACTTAGAAGAGGAAGGGAGCCTGTTCAGGCGAAAGGAGACAGGAGGGAGAGCCGGCGGCTCTGCGGGAAGGCTTGCAGGTCTTCCAGCCTCTGCTCCACCCCTTCAGAAGCCGCGCTCAGGCTGGGCTGCTGCTCCCAGGAGCCTTTCACACACTGCCTCCAGAGTTTGGAGAAAGAGAGAAAGCCCAAAGAGAAAGCCAGTGTTGCCCAGACCCATGGACAACGCCTCCCAGGTCTTTGGAGGGGCTCTTGTTCTTCGCTCCCCATCTCCCACCCAAGTCCTGCCCCATCACCCCTCACCTGCCCATCACCTGCCTGTCAGAGCCACCTCCCAGCAGCCTCGCTGCCTCCCACTGGGCCCCGCAATCCTCTCCCCTGCACAGGAGACGTCTTCACCGCTGCCTGAGCTCACGCCTGGAATCCCAGCACTTTGGGAGGCCAAGGTATGTAGATCACGTGAGATCAGGAGTTAAAGACCAGCCTGGCCAACATGGCAAACGCTGTCTCTACTAAAAACACAAAAATTAGCCAGGCGTGGTGGTAGGCGCCTATAATCCCAGACCCTTGGGAGGCTGAGGCAGGAGAATTGCTTGAACCCAGGGGGCAGGGGTTGCCCTGAACCAAGATCTTCACTTCACTCCAGCCTGGGTGAAAGAGCGAAACCACATCTCAAAAATAAAAATAAAAAAAGAAGTGCTTCACAGTCATAAATGTATCCTCCCCTGCAAAAAACCCTGTTTCTTCTTTTTTTTTTTCATTTTCACCATTTCAGCACCAAAACCCTATTCCTCATAGACTAAAAGGCAGGCTCCTCACCTAACCTCAAAGCCCTGTGTGCTTTGCCCCTGCCTGCCTCTCTGACCTCTTCCAATGACGTCACTCCCTCAGAAATGAGCCATGGCCCTGCTGGCTTTTTGAGAGCTCCTCTGAGACCCCAAGCTTTTCTCCCCTTAAGGAAAGAGACTCACAAGGCAGTGGTGGCTTTCACACCTTCTGTTCCCTCTGCCCAGAACACCCTTCCCTGCATGCTTGCTCACGCACTCTCATCCTTCAGGTCTTAACCGAGACGGTTCCTCCGCAGAGCGGGCCACCCTCCCCCTCCAGCTCAGTCTGGTTTCTCCCACACCTGACATTCTTTCTTCTAGCTCCCGTATTTCTTCATCGGACTCTGCACAACTCGTAACCATGCCTCCTCCCGGAATCCAGGACAGTGCCTGGCACATCGAAGGTGCTCCACAAATACTTCCCGGCTACACTAGTCTGGAAGTGCAGTGTGGACGGAGACCTCATCTGCTTGGTCCACCTCTCACGATTGCTGGGCACACGAGAGGCACTCAAAAATGCATAGAATTCACCAGTTGATTAAATCCCAGGTGTGTGGAAGGCAGAGAAGCAGAGCCGGGAGGCCAGCCTGCCTCCTACCCACATATTCAATAAATATGTATAGGCCGGGCATGGAGACTCATGCCTGTAATCCCAGACCTTTGGGAGGCCGAGGTGGGAGGATCACTTGAGATCAGGAGTTCGTGACCTGCCTGGCCAACATGGTGAAACCGCATCTCTACTAAAAATACAAAAAATTAGCTGGGTGTGGTGGTGGGCACCTGTAATCCCAGCTACTCAAAAGGCTGAGTCAGAAGAATCACATGAACCTGGGAGCTCGAGGTTGCAGTGAGCCAAGATGGCACCACTGCCCTCCAGCCAGGGCAAGAGAGAGAGACTCTGTCTCAAAAACAAACAAACAAAAACAATAAATACGTATTAACATCTACCACGTGCAGGCTGTGGGGACAGGCGGGGCGGCTTTGAATCACAGCCTCAGCATCGGTAGCCACGTGGTTTGTGCGAATCTCTCCGAGCCCCAGCTTTCTCCTCCACAAATTCACGCTAATACTTTCTGTTTTCCAGGATTACTGTCAGGATTAAAGAGGACACAGTGCACGCGGCACATAATAGCCACTCGACACTCATGCCATGACCCTCTGTGGCAGCTTTGTTGGGGAGACAGGGGTCATCACCCGGGCCAGCTCAGCCTGTGACAAAGGAACGTGACCACAGCTTTAAAGATGCAGATGAGACTGCATCATGTCTACCAGAGCAGTCACAGCAGGGACCGTGGATGCATTCCAAAGACAGGACAATGTCTGTACCCCAAAGTGGCAAAGAGTCAGACTCTGGGATTATAGACATGTGCCACCATGCCTGGCTAATTTTGTATTTTTAGTAGAGATGGGGTTTCTCCATGTTGGTCAGGCTGGTCTCGAACTCCCAACCTCAGGTGATCCACCCGCCTCGGTCTCTCAAAGTGCTGGGATTACAATTGTGCCTGGTCTGTTTTTTGAGACAGGATCCTGCTGTGTCACCCAGGCTGGAGTGCAGTGGCACAGACTCAGCTCACTGTAGCCTCAACCTCCTGGGCTCAAGCGACCCTCCTTCCTCAGCTCCCACCCCCCAGTACCTGGAACTACAGGTGTGTACCACCGCGACCAGCTAACTTTTGGATTTTTTTTTTTTTTTTTTTTTGAGACAGAGTCTCACTCTGTCACCAGGCACCGGGCTGGAGTTCAGTGACAAAATCTTGGCTCACTGCAACCGCCACCTCCCGGGTTCAGGCAATTCTCCTGCCTCAGCCTCCTGAGTAACTGGGACTACAGGCGCATGCCACCACGCCCAGCTAATTTTTGTATTTTTAGTAGAGATGGGGTTTCACCATGTTGGTCAGGATGGTCTCGATCTTTTGACCTCATGATCCACCCGCCTCAGCCTCCCAAAGTGATGGGATTACAGGCTTGAGCCACCGCGCCCGGTCACTTTTGTATTTTTTGTGGAGACAGGGTTTTGCCACGTTACCCAGGCTGGAACGTGAGTATGTTTAAAAAGCCATTCATAGCTGATGGATGAACAACGTGGAGGCTCCTGGTTGGTGGAGAAGGAGTGACCCTCAAAGACTGTGGTCCAGTTCCCCACCATTCTGGAAAACCGGCCAGGAAGGAACTTTCCACGCTGGAACTGGGGGACAAATGGCAGCATCCTCCAACCATACCTACAACACACATAACAAGCACCCAGGAGGGCTGACCTTGGCTGTCTTCTGTCAGCATTGGCTCCTTCCTGGTTAGCAAAGACTAGGGGTCAAGGGAGGCAGGGTTAGTCTGTGCTGGACCCTTCACAGCCTCAGCTCATCTCACTGTAACGGGAACCACGCGAGGAAGTACTCTCAAAAGGGACAGTGAGACTCACACTGGCTACGGAGGTCTCAAGGTCATGTAGCTAGCCTGTGCAGAGCCGAGATCCGCAGCAGCAAAGCCCGGCCCCAGGCTCCTCCCCACTCTGCCTCCGGGAGGGCTTCCAGGTAGGAAGAGCCAAGAGCTGAGTTACCAGTGGAGCTACCAAGAGTGGCATGAAGGCAGTGAGGCAGGCTTTGCTCGGGGAACCCACGTGTATTGTTTTGGCAGCACATCAAGAACACAGCCAGAGCCAGACATGGTGGCTTGTGCCAATCATCCTAGCACTTGGGAAGTCTGAGACAGGAGGATTGCTGGAGCCTAGCAGTTCAAGACCAGCCTGGGCAACAGAGCAAGACAAATCTCTACAAAATATTTAAAATCTAGCTGGGCACCATGGTGCATGCCTATGGTTGCAGCTACCAGGGAGGCTGAAGCAGGACCGCTGAACCCCGGAAGTCTGAGGTTTCAGGGCATGATGATTGCACCATTGCACTCCAGCCTCGGGGGCAGAGAGAGACCCTGTCTCAAAACAAACAAACAGAATAGAACAGAGTCGGGATGCTTGCCTGCCAGAGGAGACCCCAAACCAGCCATTGCACACTGGCTGGGGATCAGAGCAGGCTGGTAGCCCGGGCCCCACCCCTCGTGCCAGCCTCTGTGGCCGGAGCCAGCGCTCACCATGGACTCCATGTTGGAGGCGGGGGGCTGCACCTGGCCCCGAAGCTTGTTGTGAAGCATGAGGATCTCCTCCTTGTCCTCCCTCGGGATGGCCCTGCGGATCCGCGAGTGAGACTCGTTGTGCTGGTATTTGCTGAGCAGTTCCTCTAAGAGAGTGACGTTGGGCAACAGGTAGCCTTGGGATCCGCAGACCAGGAACAGCAGTCCCAAGGGGACGACACCGCCTAGGACACAGCTCATGGCTCCACTCCTGCGGCAACTATGGCACTGACAGGGCAGCCTGGGCTCCTGGGGCAGAGCTGGGCACTCGAACTCTGAAAGGAAGGAGAGGGTGGTGGGAGAAGTCGCGTTAGTAGGAGCCAGTCACAGCGTGGGCTGGAGCAGCGAACGCAGAACAAATGACACTCTCCATTTTGCAGATATGGAAACGGAGGCTCACAGAAGCTAAACAGCCAAGGTCCCACTGGCAGGAAGTAGTGGAGCTGGGATTTATGCCAAGGGTTTCCAGCGAGGCGAGCTGTCTGGATTCCAAACAGGACAACCCAGAACAGGTCCTCCCAGACTCAAGTTTCCCTTGAGAGAGTCCCTGTATTTTCTAAGTCTGAGTCGGCATCCCTTACTCATTCAGGACTCAGGTGAATCTCTGGCACAGATTAGCTTCTATCTCCTGCCCCAAGGGGACTGGTAACGTCATTTCCCATCACCAAAGGGTGGTCCGTGACCAACGTTGATAGCAAACTTCTAGTCCCTGTGTAATGAGACTTGGTTTACCAATGGTGATTGACAGACACATGGCTTCTTTTATCACGGCTCTCGCCCTGGGCCCACCCACACATCTGTCACACGCTAAGACACAGCTGCCCAGAACAGAGTCCAACCAAGGACTCAGAATTTTGTTCCATTAGAAAACACTTCGTAAGCACCTAAGCAGCCCGGTCGTTTATGTTATTCCCTGTGGGAAATAAAAAACTTTCTCTTCAAAGTTTCCTTTCTTGTTAAAGAGAAAATTTGCTAATAATTCTTTGTTAAGCCCTGTCCTATGCAGCTGTTAGACATGCCATGCTTACAGGCACATACTACATTCTATGTCCTTGTACTTTAACCAAGATATCTGTGCTGGATGTGCTCACAGGCATGTCCTAGCTCACAGTGTATGCCCCTTACCTGTTTAAAAAAGTTTGACGTTGTCAGCCAATCAGGTTCTAGTTTAAACTGCATAGTCTGGCTCCAGCCAATGGAAATCAAACACAGCAGTAAGGACAACCCCAAATGCATAAAGGATACATATGTCTGCTTTTCCTTTGTTCATTGTACTTTTGTGGCAAGATGGCTAGCAAGGGTACCCGTCCTGCAGTCCAGGAAGTAAAAATTGCTTTGCTAAGAGATCCTTTGTCTCAGTGCTAATTTTTCTTTATTTCCATGCACTCCGAGCATCTGTTTCCATGACAACCCATCCCCGTTTCATAGATAAGAAAGCTGTGGTTTAGTGTGGTGACATGACAAGCCCAGGCCCAGCATCCTGGTAAGCAGAGACACTGAGATTCGAAATGATGATTCCAAAGATCCAGAATGCTCCAGAAGCTACCTGGGCTCCTATATCCCTGAGGGCCAACTATCTCCCCTCCATTATAGGGACACAAACTGCAGACCTCCTCCTCCTGGCTTGCCATCTGAAAAATGTATGTTATTGGCCCAAGAAGACAAACAAGGGCTTGAACAAGTGTGTCCACTCACACCCTTCCTGTCTGCTTTACTCCCAGGGGAGGGTCAGGGCCACCCAGTCACCTCCATGCAGCGCCTTATTTTGTGCTGGACTCTGAGATGAGGTCTAGGGATGCGAAGATGAAGAGGACTCTGCCCCTGGCCTCAAGGAGCTCACAGTCAGGTCAGGGAGAGAAGAGGGAACCCGCAGCCCTCACACAGCAGGACAAAGCTGACTGTAAAGACAGGGCCAGGCCCTCAGGGGCCAGAGGAAGGGGCTCTGTCTGGAGGGGTAGGGTGGTGGCCATGCCTCAAGCTGACCTGTTGGAACTCCCCGGGGCTCAGTTCTTCAAATGGGAGTCTTCCCTGATCTTCACACCCATAGCACTGACCGGTGTTTACCCATCAAGTTGGCTGGGACAGTGCGTGCAAGGAGGGCGTCCTCGGGGGGAGACATAGATCAAGGCCCAGAGGGGATGGAGGCCAAGATGGGCATCCCAGGAAGCAGAAACGTTGGCACCAGGAGGCAGAGGCTGAGCCAAAGAGCTATGGGAATGGTGTGGTTCCCATTCCTGACCCCTGGAAACTCTCCAGGGTCCTGACTGAGGCTGTGCCCCAGACAAAAATAACCCCATGCAGACAGGAGAGGCTTGGCTTGCTTTGCAGTGGGCAGACAGGGCTGCCCTTCTCCGAAGCAGAGCCTGAGACCACGGGGGAGGACCTCTGCGTGCTCGCTCGTCCCCCTGGGAAGCAGACCAAGAATGCAGAACTTCTCAGGATCCCTGATCGCTCTCTCAGGTTAGTCACACTACCATATATGAGCATTCCCAGCTGCAGGCGGCCAGGCTCAAGGAAGAGATGCCAGAAGACTCTGACGCTGGGCTGAGGTTGACAGCGCGGTAATCAGCGTCACGGGGCGTCCCCCTGGTGTCTGCACGATGATCTGCTTGTTTTGCTCCACACTTAGGCCACGGGGGGAGAAGGGACTCCCAAAGGCACGAAGTATAAACTGCTGACGCAACTCTGCTGTGACCCCATGAGATGAAGACCCCGTTCTGGTCTAAATCACTGGTAGGCATCACTCAGATGGTTATCAGTAGGGGGACTGGTAAACACAGTGTGCCTAGAATGCAGGGCAGGAGTGCGTGGTGGAATATTACACAGCAGGTAAAAGGGAGGGTTCGGGCTGTGCGAGCATCGGCACAAAGAAATCTCAGCGTAGTGTTGAGTTTCAAAAGCAAGTTGTAGAGCATGATGCTACTGCTGCTATTTGTGCAAATTTAAAAACATGTAACTATTTTTTTTGTGTGTAGAATTCTAAAGTAATCAATACAGAGCACAGATCCATTTCAGGACGTTTAGCAAGTGACGGCTACACTGGGAAGGTGGCAGGGTACCAACAGCCAGGGGAAGGGTCATGTGGCTCCTCAGCACAGGGCAAAACTGCACAGCACATTATGATCCAGTGTGGAAACAGCGATGTAAAAACACAAACTCTTCTGGGGAAAGAGCCTCCAGATGTTACAGGTATCCACGTTTCCCACCTTCACTAGCAAAGGGACAAAAACTTTCATTCCCAAACCTCTCCCATTTGGGAGCTCGTTATGTGCCAGCCTCCAAGGAGCGGAGGTAAAAAGAGCAAGGGGGGCCCTGGGCGGGGGCCAGGGGCTGGAAGAGGAGAGACGTCGGGCAGGGGTAAAAGAACACGTGTAATTGCCACAGGAGGCAATTAGAGACACTGGCAGAGGCTGCTGATAGTGGCCAGGATGGAAATGGGGGCCCCACTCAAGAAACAGAAGAATCCAGAGGATCCTGTTCATTGGAAATGGAGGTAGGGGGTGAATGGACCCTTGTTGTGGCCTGGGACACAGAGGTGCAGGGTCTGAGAGCTGGGGCATGTGGGTGATGTTCCTGTGCGGACAGGGCGGGAAGAGGAGGGTGAGTCCTGATGAGGGAGAACAGCCCTGCCCCCGGGACCATTCGAAGGTCAGCAGATGTAAGAGGAGAAGGGCGATGTGGCGGGGGACAGACACATATGTATATGTGCAGATAAACATGTATGTGTGTTTGTGTACCTGTGTTTGTACATGTATACGGCGTGTATGTGTGTTTGTGTACCTGTGTTTGTACATGTATACGGCGTGTATGTGTGTTTGTGTACCTGTGTTTGTACATGTATACGGCGTGCATGTGTGTTTGTGTACCTGTGTTTGTACATGTATACGGCGTGCATGTGTTTGTGTACCTGTGTTTGTACATGTATACGGCGTGTATGTGTGTTTGTGTACCTGTGTTTGTACATGTATACGGCGTGTATGTGTGTTTGTGTACCTGTGTTTGTATATGTATACGGTGCGTATGTGTGTGTCATAAAACCAGGACTGAATTCAGAGAAAGTTCATGGTGGGGACTGGCTCTGAAGTAGAAGATGAGAAGCAGGGAAGAGAAAACGAGAGCCTTCATCTTTACCTTTAATATCTTATTTCAATGTTTTTCTTGAGACAGGGTCTTGCTCTGTCACCCAGGCTAGGGTACAGTGGCACAATCACAGCTCACTGCAGCCTCGACTTCCTGGGCTCAAGCGATCCTCCCACCTCCGCCTCCTGAGTAGCTGGGACTACAGGTGTGCGCCACCAGGCCCAGCTATTTTTCTGTTTATTTTTTGTAGAGATGGGGACTTCACCATGTTGCTGAGGCTGGTCTTAAACTCCTGGGCTCAAGCAGTCACCTAGCTCAGCTTTCCAGAAGGGCTGAGGTTACAGGCAGGGGCCACTGCGCCTGGTCCTTATTTCTGTTTTTTAAATCTCAAGCAAATATGGCAAGATGCTGACATCTGTTCATGTTAGGTGACGAGGCGGAGTTGCCAGGAAGTGTGAGACGGCAGCCATGGGAGGCGTCTTCAGGACCTCTGTGGTAGGCCTACGCTTTGCATTTGTCTATTTTCTATTTTTTTAAGTATTACAGGTTGAGTATCCGCCACCCAAAATGCTTGGGTCCAGAAGTGTTTCAGATTTTGGATTTTTCAGATTCTGGCATATTTGCAAGTTCATAATGAGATATCTTAGGGATAAGACCCAGTCCAAACACAAAATTTGATTGTTTGAGAAACACCTTATACACATAGCCTGAAGGTAATTTTATCCAACATGTCAAAATGATTCTGGGCACGGAATAAAGTTTTGCCTGTGTTTTGACTGCAACCCATCACATGAGGTCAGGTGTGGAATTTTCCACGTGGCTTCAGGGCAGTGCTCAAAAAGTTTTGGATTTTGAAGCATTTCGGATTTTGGATTTTCAGGTTAGGGAGGGCCAACCTGTGCTTAACAAAATAAAACAAAACGCCAAAGCATGAAAACAGGAGGAGACAAATGGTGTTTTCAAATGAGTCCTCTGGCATGTCCCCCTGAAACAGCATGAGCGATCCCGGGAGATCCACCTTCGTTCTGAATGTTAAAGGGACTTCCGTGGCTCAGAGGCTGGTCCTGCTCTAAGGATTCCAGAGAGAATGTATGAAGTCTCAGCTGGAGCTTGGGAGTTGAGAGAACCACGGGGTTTAGGCAAACCTCCACACTGGAAGAGAATAGAAGGAAAAAGAGAGAAGAACGTGGGGGTG